CCCCCCCCCCCCCCCCCCCCCCCCGGTGCAGCTGGAACAGAGTGAGGCCAAGTGCGAGGACGCCCTGAAGACCCAGAAGGCGCTGACCACGGACCTGGAGAACATGCACAGCGAGCTGGAGAACATGACCCGGAGCAAGAGCCTGGTACCGTCCCCCTGCAGCCTGAGGACATAGGAGGGGCAGGGGCCCTAGAGTGGACCTATTGGGTGGCTCCTGGGAGGGACGGGCATTCATTGTAGACCTACTGGGTGCTCAGCTCTGTAAGAGGGGCAGGGGAACTTAGTGTAGACCTACAAGGTGCTCGGCACTTTGACTGCAGGCATCCTACCGYGCGCAGAGATTCATTACGGCTTAAGGGCAGGCATCTAGGGGGTCAACTGTGCACTCCACCTGCGAAGGTGCGCAGGGAGACACGTGGGCCTACTGTGTGCTCATACTGTGACGGTGCATCCAATATGAGCCTGTGGTTCGCTCAGCACCCTGAGTGCGAGCTTTTATCATGAGCCCATGGGGTGCTCAGCACTGTGGGTGGTTCTCAGGCATCTGCTGCAGTCATACTGTGTGCTTGCCACCATGAGAGAACTCGGTCCTTATGGTGTGCTATTTCATGTGTTCCCCAATAAAGTAGAGACCAGGACATCTTTTTACTACTGTGAAGAGAGCCCTTTATTGTGCACCTACTGTGTGCTCACCACTGAATGGGGAGAAGTGAGCACACACTGTGGGTCTAGTCTGCCGGGATGGGGTGTGCTTTTCCACATCCCTGTCTGCACAGGGAGTGTTTGGTTCATTTAAATTTATATTCGGGGTGTAAAAACCTCCTGTTTGTGCAGAGCTGGGGATTTATAGGCAGAAGCTTATCTCTTGGTCCTGTTGGCTCTTTCACCCTATATATGTATTTTTTGCACTAAATTAAGAAGAACTTGCCCACAAACACATGTACGTACACACAGGGATGTGCTTACACACACACACACACATACACATAGTCACTAGACACACATCTCAAATCAATGCCCCCACGGGTAAAATACACAATCATACCTGTCCATCTACCTAATAGGCATTTATTGAGCACCTACTATGTACATGAGGCTTGGTGCTCAGTGCTGGAGATGCACCTGTGAACGGAACCAAGTCCCGGTCCTGAGGGAGATCACAGGTGGCACTTACACACACAGCAATCACCTGGAAATGTGCCTGTGTAGACTCTGGGGGAGGGGCTGTCACAGGCCTCAGTCTATTTATGATGCAGACGACACACAGTCACCTGAATGCCCAATGTGTGTGCACCCCTCCACACACACCCACAGAGTGGCAGCACCAAGCATTGGCACCCACTGTCAAGGGAGTGACCCTCGTGCRCACCACAGGCAGGCACCCTCTGCCCCCCAGCTCTGCCCCCTCACCGCCCTGCGTGCCCCTCAGGTGGACGAGCAGCTGCACCGGCTGCAGCTGGAGAAGGCGGGCCTCCTGAAGCGCATCGACGAGGACCAGGACGACCTGAATGCGCTCGTGCAGAAGCACAAGGACCTCATCGCTCAGGTGCCAGGGCTCCGTGGGCAGGGTGGGGTGGGACACGTGCTGGGGGGGCCACTTCCTGGTCCTAGGATCTGGCAGGACAGAGAGGATCTGTAAGTGCCGTGTGCCCTGCGGGAGGGGGACGTCCCCTCTGTGCAGTGCATGCACCCCTGGAGGACCTCCACCAGGAGGCGTTCCGCTGGGTCACATCTGCCCACTCCCCCACCCCTCTGTCCAYCCATCCGTCATGCACCTGGCCACCCAGTATCCACCCATCTGTCCATTTTCCCGTCCACCCTGTTGTAGTCACTGCTGTGACTAAAAGTCCCGACCAGAACAATGTAGAGGAGGAAAGGTTCATCGAGGGCTCGTGGTTCAGAGGTCTCAGTCCAGAGACAGCAGGTTCCACTCCTCGGCTCGAGGTGAGGCAGGACATGGTGGAGGGAGAGGGTGGCCGAGGAGAGCAGCTCACGTGGGGACCGGGAGGCAGAGAGACTCCACCCTCCAGATTCCAAATTCATACCCGAGAGTCACACCCCGAATGCCACCCCCTCCAGCCACCCACCTCCTCCAGTTACCACTCGGCCATCCCCTCAGGGACGGTTCCCTGGGTCAAGACTCCACACCCAATCATGTCTCCTCTGACCTTCTGGCAGTGGCTCACGTGAACTTTGGAGGGACACCTCACATAACACACCCATTCTGTCATCCACCTACCCACCTGTCCCTCCATCTGCCCACCCAGGCACCCATCCATCCACCTGCCTGATCATCCCTCCATCCCTCCATCCCTCCATCCACCCTTCCCTCCCTCCATCCATTCTTCCTCCCACTTGCCTGTTCACCTACCTGTCTAACTATCAGCTGTTGTCTGTCTCTCTGTCTATCTGTCTGTCCACCTGCCTATCTAATATTCACTGAGGACTGGTTCTGGGTCAGGCACCGTGAGGCACACCCTGTGTGGTTCCCAGTTTCGTGGGCTGGACAGACTGTACCATATAATCACCCAGGGCTGAGGGGAGACTTTTAAACCAAGCAGAGAATCTAGAAAGGAAGTAAACATGGTTCTATGAATCCTGACCTAGGTGGGGCTCAGGGGGTCACCCTGAGGAGGTGGCACTTGGATGATGAGATTGGGATGGGACAGTGGGGTGTGGGCAATGTTCTAGGCAGAGTGAATAACGCATGCAAAGGGCCTGTGGTGAGCATTTGAGGAGATGTCAGGTGGCCCGCRAGTTCTGGAACGTGGCCCAGGTAAGCTCCACAGGCCAGGAGGGGAGGGCCAGTGAGGGTCTCAGAGGTGTGRTGTTTGGGCTTTATTTGGGGGGTGATGAAGATCATTGGCAAACATTTTAGGRGCAAGTGCAGTTGGAGAGAACCTGATAGGGTGTCACCGCAACTGTCAGCTCCACGGGGACAGGGCTGTGCTCTGCCTTGTCCAGCCCTGTATCCAGCTGAGCTCAGAACAGTGCCTGGCAGGGAATAGGTTAAGTAAGTAGCCACTGAATGAGTGAAAGCTGCTGTCCAGGGGAGAGGCCACTGTGGCTTGTACCAGGCAAGTGGGGTGGCCGGGAGCACTGGACTCGGGAGCCACTCAGGAGACACAGCGGCAGCAGAGAGCAACACAGGAGCTTGGGGTGGAGGGGTGTGGGGAGGAATCCCCTGCAGATTCTGATCTGCGCAACTGAGGAACAGTTCCTCCCACAGCAGTGGGCATCCTGCTCCCATGTCCCTCCAGAGGAGACCCGGGGAGAGCACCACCCAGGTTTTGCTCTAAGAAGCTCTCTGCTAAGCAGGAATAACAAAAATACTCAGTGGCCCACACCTGTCATCTCAGGGGCTCAGGAGGCTGAGGCAGGAGGATCATGAGTTCAAAGCCAGCCTCAGCCACAGGGAGGCCCTAAGCAACTCAGTGAGACCCTGTCTCTAAATAAAACACAGAATAGGGCTGGGGTGGGGCTCAGTGGTCGAGGGCCCCTGAGTTCAATCCCTGGTACCAAAGAAGAAAGAAAGAAAGAGAGAGAGAGAGAAAGAAAGAAAGAGAAAGAAAGAAAGAAAGAAAGAAAGAAAGAAAGAAAGAAAGAAAGAAAGAAAGAAAGAAAGAAAAGAAAGAAAGAAAAAATTCTGAGTGCTGTCACCAAGAGTTTAACAACCACAACATCCTCTGTGTTGATGAATCACTCACTTTTGTCTAAAATGGAAGTTTATTTGTTCAATTTAAATAGCAGCTCCTGCGAATTCCCACTACAGATCATTTAAACCTACATTATTTTCGCGGCAGTGAAGAACTGTCTTGGCCTCAGGAGTCCCTCTCCTTGGAGGTCCACAGCTCAGTCACCGGCTGTCCTTTTAAAGGGTCTTTATTCTCCACCACCTCCTTTAACCTCCGAGGGCCCAACGAGACGCTATCACCCCATCTCACAGATGAGGAGACTGAGGTGCAGAGGGGCCCTGGCTTGCCAAGGCCATGTCCAGGTCCAGCTTCCCGTTACCTGGCCCTGTCCCTGGGGATCTGCTCCTCAGGCCGGGGCCAGCTCATTCCCGTCTGGGCTCCCTGGGGTGAATCACAAGGTCCCGGACAGGCTGACACAGCTGGAGGACTCGGGGGACCCTGAGATGAAGGGTGGGGGAGGGTGTGAGAGGTAACTGCGGCAGTGACGATGGCGCCTCTGTGGATGGGAGAAGGGATTCTCGGGGCTGGGTGCCCAGGAAGCCCCAGGGCCTCACGGCCACATTTTATTTGTGTCTCACCAGTCGGCTGCGGACATTGGTCAGATCCAAGAGCTACAGCAGGAGCTGGAGGAAGCCAAGAAGGAGAAGCACAAGCTTCAGGAACAAGTGTGTGATGGGAGCCGCCATGTTGGGCAGGAGGGCAGGGTCCCCAGGCTCCACAGGCCCCGGGCTCCACCCCTGGGCCGGCCACTCACTGATTCATGGACTGATTCGTTTCCTCACTCCCTCCAGTTGTGGGCCAGGGACTTGAGAACAATCCAGGAGACAGACAGACAGRCACAGGCACACACTCATATCCCTTTTCCCAAGATGCCGCACACAATGAGGCGCATTCACCAGATTTTCCTGCAGGATTCTGTCCTGCTGAGAAACGGCTCCACGGGGAAGGGGTTGGTCAGTGCRAGACAGGGCCACGGCCCTTCGTGGTCCCTCCAGAGTCCCCTGCTCTCTGTCGTTACCTGGTGGGTTGCTCTCTCCACGAGATTTTCAAAGTCCTTCCAGAACCATTGCATGTGCCTGCTTAGAGTGAGCGGCAGGGTGACCAGGTTTCAAGCAAATGTCCCTGGGCACTGAGTAGCAACAAGCACAACAAAACTGTAGCTGCACTAGCCACCGGCTGGTACTCACTGAACGAATGCTCAGTCCCCACAGTGAAGATGAAGAGACGGAGGTTCAAAGAAGGGCACYGGATGGCCGGGGGTTCACCCAGCTGGAAAATGGCGGGGCCAGGGCTGAATCTTGCTGCTTGTGGACTAGTTTCACTCCCTTATTACGCCAGGGGAGGAAGCATAAGAAAGACTGAACAAAAGTCTTGTTTGGGTTCTGAAGTCACAGAAAGCATCTCCTCCCAGCACCTGACACCCAGGGCTGTCACCAGGGGCCCTCTGACCGGGACCCAGGGGTTCTAACTCRTAGTCATTCCCCGTGTGGCACTTGAGTAAAGAAGGAGGTGGGCCCTGGGGCTGGGACCTGCGCGTACCTGTGTCCTGGGACTTGGGGCCAACAGGTGACCAGTGGACCCCTCTGTGCCTCAGCTGCAGGTGGCGGAGATGCGTGTCCAGTACCTGGAGCAGTCCACCGTGGACCGCGCGATCGTCAGCAGGCAGGAGGCAGCCATCTGCGACCTGGAGAACAAGACGGAGTTTCAGAAAGTGCAGATTAAGAGACTTGAGGTACTGGTGACATGTCAGCAGGGCTCGGGCCTGAGCCGCTGGGGCTTGGAGGGAGCCAGCCACCCCCACACCTGGCTAGCTGCTCAGGAGCCTCGGCTGGACAGACATGACAGATCCACCTCCTCTCCCCTCCCCTCCCTTTTCTTCTCTGTACATTCCCACCACCGACCTGGTCATCCACCCACCCATCTCCACCCATCATCAYGGTCTGTCATCCACCTCCGGCTATTTTTATTTCCTCTGCTCGCTCTTTTATTCAGACCCCAACTCCTCTGCTGCCCACCTTTCTATTCACTGATTCGGTTCTTCCCATGCCCTCATCCACTTACCTGCCCAACACTCCCCCTGAACAGAAACTCATCTTGCACCCAAGGAGTGCCCGCTCCTGTGTTGGGTGCCCAGGGGATAGACATGGGGAGCCTAGAGCTCCGCAGGCGATGCCCAGGGTGACCTGTATTCCGGGGAGGAGGCTGTGAGGTTGWGAGAACAGGGATCTTTTCTAAAAAGAAAAGCTGGAGAATCAGGGAGACTTCCAGGAGGAGACGGCATTGATGCTGGACCTTGAAATGCAGGCRAAAACGTGATGGTCTGGGACGGGGTTCACTGATGACCTTCACGTTGACCTTGAGCCGAAAGCTCAGGTGTGTGTTTGTCTTCTAGAGTAAAAGGGAGGGGAGGAAAAATTAGAAGCAGAGATGGGTAGATGGACCAGTGATGGAGATGAAGATAAAGAGACACAGGAAGAGAGAGATGGAAATGGGTGGGGAAATGAATGGCACAGAGGGGTCCACTGGTCATCTGTTGGCCCCAAGTCCCAGGACACTTACAGAGGTCATACTCTCACTTTAGCCAGTCTGCTGGATGCTGCCCTGGGGGGCAGTCAGAATAGGCCTCGTCCAAAGAGGAAGAACAGGCCAGAAAGGGCRAGTGACCAGAGAGTCCGGGAGGGCATAGATTGACAGCTGACCTTCACCCCACCCTGGGCCGGCTCCCTGGGGTAGGACAGAGCATCATCCTCACAGAGCCSAGCTGCACTCCTCATCCTGAAACATTTTCCCAACTCCCCTACGGAATCCAGGCTCTAATAAGGCTGCCGAGGTGGAGACAGAGAGACATTTTTCTTGGCCTTGACCCTCAGTGGTTCTCCAAATGGCTCAAGGGATCCCKCAAGGCGCAGTTGTCTCTGCGGATCATCATGAAACTTGGATGGGCTGTGTGTTACATGATGACCCGCACCATGTTGCACTGTTATCTGTTTTRAAATTCAAATACAGTCCAGTAAGAGCCAAAAAACCAACACCCTGGTCCAGTGGTGTCCAAGCTCATCCCGGACCACGGCCATGGTTATTTGAATGGAGCAGAACCCCAGGTCCCTGCTGCAGAGAGACAGGGCGGACCCTGGGGACACATTTTGAGAACCACTGTTCCTCCGTACACCCCTTGCTGCTCTCTGAAATTGCTGCTAAACTCCCTTTGAAAGATGAAGRGAGCGGGAGGGCCAAGCTCCCCTTCAGGCTGTTATTCCGTGTCTGCGCTGAAGCCTGTTCCCCCCATCTGTGGCTCTGGAGAAGGGGCTCAGAGCTCTCAGCAGGGGCTTGAAATATTCATGCGGGGCCCTGCTTATGTCAACACGGCGTGTTTGCCCATCAGGATCGATTGGTTCCAGGCTTGTTGGCCGCCTAATGAATTCTGCAGAACAGCTTTTGGATTTGTTTTCTGTAGCACTCRTGATGCCCAAAGCACTTTTTTCTCTATTGTTTTATTTTGTCATCTTAGAGTTTTGTCCCCAGAAATGTAAAAATATCCATATTAGGGCTGAGGCTCATCAAAGACAASCCGATCAAAGGCACTTGTTTTATAAATCTAGAATCCAAAACCCACAATTCAGAAGGGATTTGGMCCCCCCAGGATAGTTCTCTCTTCAAAGCACCAGTCCACCTCCCAGAACTTAGGATGAAGGAGGGCTGCCGTAAACATGGACCCTTCTCAACCTTTCCAACCCTTGTCCAGCACACCCTCTGTGCCAGGCATTGGCTAAGCCTTCTTCACTTTATGAGCTGGATCCCAGCAACACAGGGGGAAAATCATCATTATCTCTCAGAAAGGTTCAGTAATCTGCCCAAGGTCACACAGCCAGGAAGAGGTAGCAGAGGGATTCAAACCCAGAGCATCAAGGGCATCAGTGTTTCACTGCCTCTCAGAATAGCAGTTACCATTTTCTGTTTTCAAAGGAAATTCCTCATTTTTTATTCAGAAATCAGGATTCTCCTKATGACTCTAGGCAAACACTCAGACTCAGTAAAGGATTCTGGTTCCTGAAGCCTCTTGCTCTAAGACCCGCACCTCTGGCTCCAATCAGGGATGTGCTCTCTGCCCCTCCCTCCCAGGTCCTGGTGATCAGACTTCGGGACAGCCTGATCAAGATGGGCGAGGACCTGTCACAGGCCCAGGCCTCGGAGTCCAAGCAGCGGGAGAGCAGCCAGTACTACCAGCGGCGCCTGGAGGAGCTGAAGGCAGACATGGAGGAGCTGGTGCAGCGGGAGGCGGAGGCCAGCAGGAGGTGCATGGAGCTGGTGAGTCATGTCGCCATACTGGCGCTTCGATGACTGAGGGTTTGGGCTCCCGAGAGCCCTCCTTTGCTGGGACAGGGAAGGCCTTCCTCCAGGAGACCTAAGGGCTTGCCTCCTGGACCTTTGGGGCCCACTTGGAGAAACAGGAGGGGATGGGCTGGGAAAGGCGCTGCCATTGGCTACAAAACATGGGGGCGTGGCCAAAGCGGACCAATGGCATTTGTGCTGCTGGACGGCCCTAAAGCGCAGGCGCGCTCAGACCAAAGCTTCCCGGGGGCAGGGGGGCCTGGCGCAAAGGGGAGGGAACCCGCGTTTTCAATGTCGGTCTTTTGCTGTGTCTTAGCGTCCTTTGTGTCTTGTACTCCTCCAACAACCCTGTGGGGTCAGAATTTCTACCCCCATTTTACAAATGCGGAAACTGATGCTTCAAAGAGGTGAGATAACAGTCTCAGGCCTCATCTGGTAAATGTGAAGTTATTTCTGAGCTATCAACAGTAATGACAGATATAAAATATAAGAATAATGATAAAAGTCACCATGTATCAATCATTTGCTGCATGCTGGGTGAAACGTTCCTTGTCTGAATCCTATCAGAACTGTTAACGTTGATGCCATTATGTTTTACGATACGAAGATGGGTAAACTGAGGCACAGGGACATCAACTTGCCAAATGGAAGCTCAGAGTGGCGCGTTCACTTTCCCAAGGTCACACGTGAACTTAGATTTGAATCCAAGTCAGCCCAACTCTGTAGTGTATGATTTTAGCCACTAGGTCGTGCTTTGACCCCAGTGTGATCCAAAGAACATTTTAAGATTTGTTCTCTGCCGGGTGGGATGGTTTCTGTGTCACTCAGTGTGTTTTGTTTTAAGAACAGGAATCGGAGACCATCTGAGTGTCTGCTCTGTCTTTTCCCGTTGAGGACAGACTTCTCTAAGCCACCTTATTTATGATTCTTGTGATGGGCAGGGGAGGTGGGGAAGGAGTATCTGGCATCCCTTTGCCTAGCACCCCAGAGCCTTCGCCAGTACCACCTATGACCTCCTCAGTGTTGGTCCCAGAGGTCTCTAAGTGCCATCATTGTGGCAGGAACTAGTCCTTCTACAGCAAATGTGTTTCCTGGGTCACTGTCCCCCACAGCCAGTTGTCCCCTTCAGCTTACCCTTCACAAGCCAGCTGCCTGGCTTTTGTTGGCTTGGGGGTGGGGCAGACAAGGTGCTGGACAGAGACTGAGTTCCCAGACACAGTGCAGGCCCATGACTGGCAGGTCCTCCACCGCCCTGGCCCTGGGAGACAGAAAGGCTCTTTCCTCCAATTGACAGGGTAACTTCCTCATTAACAGTCCTGCTTCTGATGCAGCCAGTCCCCCTCCTGCAAGCTGTGGCTGGAGGAGAGAACAGCCAGCCTTTCTCTTCTGATGTCTTCTTTAACTAGCCAGGCACGCAGGCAAGGCAGATCAAATAGTGGTTTTCTTTCCCTGTCCCTGGAGGTCTTTTTCTCTTTCTCCCCTCCCTTCCCCCATCCCTTTCGCTGTCCTCCTCATCCCTATTTTCTTCCTCTCCTCCCTGTCCCCATGTCTGGGAACATATTCAGATATTCAAAACCCCTAAAATACTGAGATTCTGCAGATGTACCTCTCGCAGATGTTGCTGCTTGGTTCCAGATCATTGCAATAAATTCAATATTGCAATGAAGGCACATGAGCTTTTTGGTTTCTCAGTGCATCTAGGTTATGTTTATACTACATCATAGTAGATTAATATGCAGCCAGGTATGGTGGTGCAGGCCAGTAATCCCAGCGGCTTGGGAGGCTGAGGCAGGAGGATCTTGAGTTCAAAGCCAGCCTCAGTAACTGAAAGGTGCTAAGCAACTCAGTGAGACCCTGTCTCTAAATAAAACCCAAAATAGGGCTGGGGATGGGACTCAGTGGTCGAGTACCCCTGAGCTCAATCCCTTCCCTGGTACCCACCCTAAAAAATATAATAGCATTGTATCTAAAAAAAGGTAGATGCCTTACTTAAAAATGCTTTATGACTAAAAAATGCTCATGATCATCTGTACAATGGACTATGGTCCTTGTGGGGTGGACAGCAACCTTCACGGTGAATAAGGCCCCCTGCACAGTGTAGTAAACCAAGCTGAGCCAATGCACAGCCCCCACCTGTGATTCAAAACAGAAGCAAAACAAACTGAAGACACAAAGCGTTTGCACCTAGAACTGCTTCTTTCTCTGCTTTCTGATTGTAAGACTCTGGGTAAGCTGATGGAGGCTGGCTTCTCTATTTCTATGCACCCGTGGTCAGGGGTTACGTTAGGTTCCCCTGAGTGTCCTAAGAGATGACCACAAACTGGCATAAAGTGACAGATGTACATTCTTTCGTAGTTCTGGAGGCCACAGTCTGAAACTGTGCGTTGGCGGGCGCTACCCTCACTCCACAGGCTCCAGAGGGGACTGTACCTTGCCCTCCCCGGGTTCTCTCAGCTCCAGGTAGCATGGCCCCACTCTCTGCCTTCACGCGACCTTCCCCTCTGAGTACATGAGTCTCAAATATCCTTCCACCATGCCCTTATAAGGGCAGCTGTAATTGGATTTAGGGTGCAACCTAAATTGAGGTTGCTCTCGTCTGGAGGTCCTTACTGGAATGATAGCTACAAAACAGCCCTTTTTGGAATAAACTCATATGCACAGATCCTGGGTGGACATATCTCATGGGAGATCACCCTTGAACTTGCTCCAGGAGACGAAGGCGTGTACTGTTGGTACCCTAAAGGCACTAGCACGTGCTGTGGTTTCCCTGATGTGCTGGGGGAGAACAGGGGTCAAAGGGACGATGTCATGCTAGCAGCCTCTTCCTGACGGTGGATGTCACCAACTCACCAACCTATTTGCCTCAAGGATGTCCTTGAGGCCCTGGAAAATGTCCTTTAGGCTGGGAGGAAAGAAGGTCCTGCTTGCTTGTCTCGTTAGTGAGTCCATTCCACCTATGTCTACTGGGCACCAATTATGGGCGTGGCCTAGGATAGGCATTGGAGCCGGGTGGGAATCCTAAGGTGCTTGCAGTGTAGACGTGCACGTGCAATACGGACAGACAAGGTCTGGTGGAAGTTAAATGCCCGATGTCATTTGAAGACCATTCTTGTCACCAAGGCCTCCCCCAGAGGCCTGGCATTCTCGATTCTTGGAAGTGCAGCCCCATCCATTCAGGTTCACGTGCACGTCCACGCCACCCACTGACCTTCCCCCATCCTCAGCAGCTTCTCGGTGCCACATAGACTCTTACAAACCTCACCAAAACCCAGCTGGGAAGTCAGAGTTCTGGTTCTTTTCTTCATGCATATGAAGCCCTAATTTTTACTATGGGTCAAGCCCTGTGGTGGATGTTGGGGACCCCACAAGGAGCAGCCTGTGTGGGGGTGATATGGAACTCCATGGGAAGATCAAATCCAGGCCATTGCTAGTGAACCTCATACCAATAAGAGCTTTCTCTGTAATGGGAACTCGGCTTTCGCAGGCAGAACCGGAAGCTGTGCACTGTGATTTGGGAAATTCTTGGAAAACCAGCTGGTGCGGAATCTCTCCCCCATGCCCACTGTCACCACCCAAAATCCATTCCTTTTTTTCTTTTCTTTTCTTTTTTTTGAGGGAAGTACTGAGGATTGAACTCAGGGGCCCTCGACCACTGAGCCTCACCCTCAGCCCTATTTCGTATTTTATTTAGAGACAGGGTCTCACTGAGCTGCTTAGGTCCTCACTGTTTCGGAGGCTGGCTTAGAACTCACGATCCTCCTGCCTCAGCCTCCTCAGCTGCTGAGATTATAGGCATGCACCACCACACCCTGCTCAGATCCATTTCTTAGGGTAAAGGGTTACCTTCTCTGCCTCCTCCTCCTCCTTTTTTTAATTCAAGTCTCCCTGGAAGGGGCGAAGACATTTCCTAACTGTGCAGCCCAGATACGCGTTTATTCACTCCCTCAACAAACACTCATTGAGTTGCTCCTGCCCAGGCCCTGGGCGCACACTGTCTTTGACATTTTACATCAACTGTAGAAGGTAGAGAAGGAACCGAGGGCAGTGTAAAGTCACCCAGGGCTGCAGGGTCAGGGTGGCAAACCTGGGATCAGCCTCCCTGAGTGTCCATCACTAAACTGTCACCGTGCCCCCCACATTGGCCTTTCAACCCAGTCCTGCTGAAAAATGACTCTGCTGTGGGAGACCAAAAAGGGATCTGGGCCTCTGGGCCCTGGTGAGACCCAAGGAGGAAGTTGATGGATCTCCTGTCCACATCCTTTCCGCCTGTCCCCAGCCTGTGCCATTTGTCACTGTTGGTGTTGGCTTAAAGGGCTGTGCGTTGTGTCCTGTGGATGATGGATGCCCCCGGCCCGCTCACCGGCTCCTCCAGATCAGCATCAATTACCCCACGGATGGAACCTGGCTTCCCGGAAAAAAAAAAARAAAGAAAGAAAAATGAGGTTTCGCCATTAATTTTAGTAAATGTACTATTCCTGGCGACTCCAGGAGCCATTACAGAGGAAGGAATATTCTGACTCTAAATCACTCAAGTCTCTTTGTCCCTGGGGAAGGAGACGGCTCCTCCGTGTTGTCCCCAGCGGTGAGGAGCTCAGGGCAGCTGGATGGCCCCAGGACGGGGCGGGCAAGGGTGCATCCAGGGGAGGAGGAGGCTGGTGCAGGTGGAGGCCGGAGCCCGCGGGGAGGAGGCTGCACCTGTTGGTCCCCGTCTTGCTGGTTCTCTAGTTTCCACCTTCCCTGGAGCCGCTCACAAGTCCCCAGACAGGAGGGCTGATTTTACCCTGCGTAGGTGTCTTCCCCATCTGTCCCCTCCTGGCGTCCTGTCTACCCAGGCAGCTTCCCTTCTGATCTGCGCTTCCACGGTTACTTCTTAGAGTCTCTGCGCTTGCTCCYCCTCCGCGCTTGCTCCCCCTCCGCGCTTGCTCCTCCCCGAAGAAGAACTTTCCAGAAGGAATCCATTTTACTGTGTTACTCCT